TATATATATATATATATATATATATATATATATATATATATATATATATATATATATATATATATATATATATATATATATATATATATATATATATATATATATATATATATATATATATATATATATATATATATATATATATATATATATATATATATATATATATATATATATATATATATATATATATATATATATATATATATATATATATATATATATATATATATATATATATATATATATATATATATATATATATATATATATATATATATATATATATATATATATATATATATATATATATATATATATATATATATATATATATATATATATATATATATATATATATATATATATATATATATATATATATATATATATATATATATATATATATATATATATATATATATATATATATATATATATATATATATATATATATATATATATATATATATATATATATATATATATATATATATATATATATATATATATATATATATATATATATATATATATATATATATATATATATATATATATATATATATATATATATATATATATATATATATATATATATATATATATGCAAAATATCCTTCTTGGTCCCTTAACTATACCTCGGGGTTCATTTTGGTCCCTTAACTTTAAAAAGTTCCATATTGGTCCCTTAACTCTTCAAACGTTCCATATTAGTCCTTTTTGACCTATTAGCGACGGAAAAAAATTAAAAAAAACCATCGCTAAATCCGTCGCTAATAGGTAAAAAATGACTAATATGGAACATTTGAAGAGTTAAGGGACCAATATGAAACTTTTTAAAGTTAAGGGACCAAAATGAACACCGAGGTATAGTTAAGGGACCAAAAAAGGTATTTTGCCTATATATATATATATATATATATATATATATATATATATATATATATATATATATATATATATATATATATATATATATATATATATATATATATATATATATATATATATATATATATATATATATATATATATATATATATATATATATATATATATATATATATATATATATATATATATATATATATATATATATATATATATATATATATATATATATATATATATATATATATATATATATATATATATATATATATATATATATATATATATATATATATATATATATATATATATATATATATATATATATATATATATATATATATATATATATATATATATATATATATATATATATATATATATATATATATATATATATATATATATATATATATATATATATATATATATATATATATATATATATATATATATATATATATATATATATATATATATATATATATATATATATATATATATATATATATATATATATATATATATATATATATATATATATATATATATATATATATATATATATATATATATATATATATATATATATATATATATATATATATATATATATATATATATATATATATATATAGACACACACACACAAGCATAGAATACACATATCCCAAAATTTTCACCCAATTCATCATACACATCACAATGTATATATAAACAAATATGGATAATCACCAAGCATATTTCATCATGCATACATCCACAATTCACTCATTCCACATAAACGTTTACAATTATATTTATTCATCAATTCACAACTCTCAGTTCAACAATCCATACACATATGCATACTTCGTGTAACAATTATCTATGCCATGAGACTCAATGCAACTCATGCCATGTGGTACCAACTCTTGTTATCATTTTTTCGGTTTTTACATTTAAACCGGGTCCGTCCTCTAGACCGATAACAAACAAAAGCCCGTCCTCTAAGCTTTCAAACTCACCCTTCTAGGTTTGGGACAAGTCACTAGTCTCCGCGAAACTAGCAAGCATTGCCTCTTGACAACAAATGATGCGTATGCAATCAACAACCAATGCACTTAAGACCGTTCTCGCATCTTAATCCCATGCATTATCAAATAATTCATCACACAAGAATTATAACATGATTGCACACACAACACATTTCATAATAATCAAAGTATTCATACTTTCAATCATCATCATTACATTATCAAGTAATGCACAAGAATCAATTAGATTCAATCACAATCTTCATGCACTTTTAATCAATTTTAAACAATGCATATAATTGCCGAACGACCACATTTCACAATCAATTTCCATAATCTAGGATTCACGCCATACGACTACCCACAACATAACATATCATAGCATACAACTGTGCCTTAAGAGAAAGGGCTAATCACATTCGAATAGAAGAATCGACATTGGATGGAAACAACAAGAAAATCAAACACTGTCACGCTCGCTGGACCACTCGCCTAGCGAGGTCATAGCGAACACTCGCTGCTGATTCGCCTAGCGAGCAAGCTCGCAAAGGCAAACAGAAGCTACTGGAAGGATTCGCTACTGGCTCGCTGGAGCCTCGCCTAGCGAACAACTACCTACATGACTCGATACTAGCAAAAAGGATCATCTCCATTCTGCCCAAGTCTGGGGACGTTCGCTGGCAGCTCGCTTAGCGAACGCTCGCCATCCTACTCGCCTAGCGATCGTGCTAGCGAGTGTCTGCGTACTCAAAAATCCCAACTGTCCAAAAACCTCAGAAACTCCCAAAATCACCCGATTCAATTCCAACAAGTTCTAGTAGTCTTAGTCTAACATTCCACGACTAAACTACACCATTAATTCTAGATTCTAACCGTTAAATCATCGATTCCTACCGATTAAACCATTTCTGACCTAGAATGGGAAAAGATGGAAAACATCCAAATAATCCAAACACACATACATAATCACACACATTGATAGAATGATAAGATTTCACACCCTTACCAGATTAAATCGAATCCTAGATGTTGATCTTGATGAATCCAAGCTTTTCCTCTATTTTCCTTCTCTTTTCTCTTCTTCCTCTTTCTTTCCTTTTCTCCCCTCTTTCTCTTATATCTCTTTCTATTATATCCTTTCCATCATATTTCCTTCTCTCAAAATATCTACCCATTCATTTAAATTAAAGAAATCACATAAATTAATTAATTAACATAAATAATTAATTAATAAAAATTGGGTTGTTACATTGGACGCCCAAGTGCTTGAAAAAATAAATCGAGTACACCAAAATGATCAGCGCAAAATATACGACTCAGAAAAATATAGCGTTTGGTCGGATTTTAAAATAAATTTTGACTCGTTAAAATGCTCAAACTGATTAAAATGCGACGAAAAATGGTCAAAAATTAAAACGAACCCGTCGGGTTAAACTACGAGAAACATAGATCAATATAATTGACGTCTGCAAGCTCGATTTTAAAATTTTCTTTCCACCGGTTTTACGCACCGTTGAGATTCAGTTTGACCGGTCTGTTTGTAAATCCGATAAATTATTCTGGTGACATTTTAGGCATTATGCGAGATAAAATGCGTGCTATGTAAAGTAAAAATAAAGTCGGATGAATGAAAATTTTAAAATACTCGGACAAAATCATGACTGAATAGCCACATTTGACTTGAAACCGAAATTTCTGTCCTTGAGTGCACACTGATCCTCTTGAGAAATCATGACGAAGATGACCTTGATATCTGATGAGACTCGATAAAAAAGATAATCATGATGTTAGGAACTCAACCTTTCTCTCAACTCGGGATAAATCACCTCTGAATAGGGAAAACTCAAATCACAGAAAAATGCCTCGATCCCATGTCTTAGAAGCTCAATGCAAATGAAAGGCTGCAAAATTATGACCTAATGAAAACACAAATAAAAAAGAAACACAAGTCAGTTAAGGTTAGAAGAAGAGAGGACAAATTTTAGGGTACAACAGGGGTCTGCCTACGTACTCCTTAGTGCAATGAGAAAGTAAGAGCATTGTAGTTCGTAGGACTACGGTTGATTGATTTGTTTTATCAAACAAGTGTTTAGAGGGTACTAAACATTGTTCTTTTTAGGAAATAGTTTTAATCGTGCGGCGGCGAGACATTGAATTAATGTGTTTTGGTATTTTGATTGGATGACGATCACTCGAAGCTTAAGAAAAGCTCCTCGGGCCTAAGTAATCGGGAAAGTGAATCGAAGATCCGACTATCTCTCTTTTTCACCCTTAATTGTGAAAGAATTTTGATATAGTTTAAGAAAGACTCCTCAAACCCAAATAATTGAGAGAATGATTTAAAGGAAGTTTACCTGGTTAATAAATGTAAATATGTGTATTATGATTTTTTAATTGGTCTAAGAAAAATAAATGGATTGCTCTGTAAATGTGTGTCACTTGAACATTTAAGTGGATGTGATTGATATAAACTAATATATTAGTTAATTATTTAAAAGGTAAATGATGGTAGTAATTTCAAAAAATATAGAGGATAATATTGGTAGTCTATGTGTATCTTTTATTTTAGTAAGATAGTTAATGACTATGTAATTTGGGACAAAGACGTTGGTAACTAACCTCTCTTCAAAGATAATAATGAAATTTGATCATTTGTTTCTTTTTTATCACAATTTAACATTTGTTTAACTTGTATAGTTTTTTCTGTACAAATGCTTTTTATAGATTTTTAATTATTGTTTTTCAGACAGTTTTGGCAAGAAAATTATTGATATAAAAATTAAATTGATTACTATTTCTTATAAAGTTTAGTTACTATTATTTTATAAACTTTTGATAGATTAAATTGACTTAAATTTATAATTTCAGAAATTAAAATACTAATTTATTTCAGAAAAATTCATTCTATTATAGAAGAAAAATAGAAATCAAAGACATCACTGATAGGCACGTAGCATAAACGTAAAGTTGGTTCAGTTAGTGTGATCTGTTATCACACAGTTACTACTTCTGTCACTCCCAACTCACACTACCATAGATTTCCCCCTCCCGGCGAAACCCAAACCAAACAATCTGAATCCACATTTCACAATGCTAAATCATAAACGACTCGTCGTTTTACTCTCTCTCACCACTCTTCTCTTCCTCTCTTCACTGTCTCTCACTTTCTGCGACAAAACCTCTAAAAACGACATCGAAGACGACGAAGATCTCAGCTTCTTGGAGGAACCCGAAGACGCATCCACCACACACCACGACGACGCCAATTATCCAGATCCCGATAATCTCATCGAAGAGGATGAAGAAGACGACGAAGGAGACGACTTCGGCGACTTCTCCGGCTACGACCCTAACTCGGAGGAAGAGTTCAAGGATCCAGAGGTGGATGAAAAAGACGTCGTCGTTTTGATTGAGCGAAATTTCACCACCGTAATTGAAAACAACCAATTCATGCTTGTTGAATTCTACGCCCCGTGGTGCGGTCACTGTCAAGCTCTGGCGCCGGAGTATGCCGCGGCCGCCACTGAGTTGAAGACAGACGGTGTCGTTTTGGCTAAGGTCGATGCTTCGCAGGAAAATGAATTGGCTCACGAGTATGATGTTCAGGGTTTTCCTACTATCTACTTCTTCGTCGATGGAGTTCATAAACCTTACAGTGGCCAAAGAACTAAGTAACTTTCTCTCCATTCCGAATTTTGATATTATGTGTTTTCTCAATTATGATCACAAATGAGAATTATAACGTATATGTGCATATTTGGATTCATGGTGAGTTTAGTTTGACAGAATCACGACAAGTCCCTGTTATTCTAGCAAATTCAATATGATACCGATCACATTTTAATCAGAAGTGTCGGTGTTACATAAGTTATAATCATCAAGTTTTGCTTTCAATTGATGCGGCATTGCTTTTAGAGCATTCTTATGAATTGAATTTTGCTTTGTGCAGAGATGCTATAGTGACATGGATTAAGAAGAAGATAGGGCCTGGTGTATACAACATAACTACATTGGATGATGCTGAACGAGTATTGACCTCTGAAACTACAGTCGTTTTGGGTTTCCTTAATTCCTTAGTTGTAAGTTCATGCATATATGTTTCTCATCTTTTATCAAATGCAATTTAGGAGAACAATTTATTAATTTATTTTTGGTTGTAATTTAAATGCCTATTTTGATATGGTTTGATGAATTCATTGTTTTTGCTTATATGGGTCATACTAATATAGGTTTGTTGTATATAGTAAGAAAAAGATACACATATTTGTTTCCTTCCTAATTAATCCATGTAACAAAGAGGCCATTTGCAGTGTTGATTCTCTAGATTAAACTAATGGATCTGAAGTTTGATGATTTAGTTTATGAAAGTGTTGGTTGCTTGGTTGTTAGGTCTGATGCCTCCTTTATTATGTCTTAATATGCAGGGTGCTGAAAGTGATGAGCTAGCTGCAGCATCAAAACTTGAGGATGGCGTCAATTTTTACCAAACCGTGATTCCTAATGTGGCTAAGCTTTTCCATATTGACCCAAATGTCACGCGCCCTGCTTTGGTCTTGCTCAAGAAAGAGGAGGAGAAACTGAACCATTTTGGTTTGTTTTCTTGTTCCACTCTCCTCCAACTCCTTAATAAGAAAAATACATCACTAGGCTTTTAATGCAAACTTACATATATATTTTATCATCTCTGCAGATGGCCAATTTGTTAAAGCTGCAATAGCCAACTTTGTATCCTCCAACAAGCTTCCGCTTGTCACGACTTTTACACAGGAAAGTGCCCCAGTCATTTTTGAAAGTCCAATCAAGAAACAGGCAATTACTTATATCTCTTTTCGGTTTATATTGTTGATCTAGGAATAGACTTTTCTTGAAAATGTGATCTTAACTAACTTCTAACTATTGTTGTGTTTTGTACTTTTGCTTTTAGCTGTTGCTGTTTGTGACTAAAAAGGATACAGCGAAGTTCATTCAAGTATTTCAAGAAGCATCAAAGATTTTCAAGGGAAAGGTATTTTCCTAATCCTAACAGGCCATTGTTTAATACTCTGTCACTGCATTCATTCTCTAGATTCTAGACAAATTTGTATTTGCCTTTTATTCACCAAACAATGCAAATAAAATATAATGCTCTGCTCTTAATTATAATTAGGGTGCAGTGTGCATCCGAGTGGATCAAGAAAGTAGATTAGGTGAAAGTAAGGGTATACAAATTTTAGTTTGGAAGGCATATTGACTAAGGGAATGCCATATGTACTTTTATGTGGCGGTTTTTTCCAAACTAAAAAGTCTGGATATGTCTAGTGGTGTCATTGTTGCTGAGTAGGTTAAATAACATCATTATGTTATTTGCTCTATGTAGCCACCTCCACTTGTTTGAAAAGACCTTCTTTTTTTCTGTAACTAGGCCCAGTGGAGTAAATTAAAAACTTAAGTTCTTGTGTTTTTAATCACTGGGCTTTTATGAAAACTAGTTCTAGTTTTATTATCTTCTTTTTATGATTAGCTCTTATATTTATAGGGATATTTGATTAGATTACATTCCGCAGTTATATGATCATGATAGGATCACAATACTATTTAGATTATTCCCCTCATGTATATAAATATGTACAGAATTTCTTATTAGTAAGACATACGTATTCAGATTCAAGCTTCTTTAACAAACAAATGTAATTTGAAACCAGGTAAAAATTCTATCAATTTAATTTGCATATACAGTCAGTGTAATTGTTTTTTTAAACATGCATCTAATCGCATCATACCATGTAGGTATTAGTGGAGATGCTTTAGGTACTAACATAGCATAGTGGCATCATAATGTGATATAATTGGATGCTTGTGTAAAAAAGTTTTACAGAGTTAGTGCATAGAAACTAATTTCTATTTGAATTTGATTATGAAATAGTTTTGAAATTTATAAAAACTTCCCTGCGTGTACATAATAACCATGTTGTTGTTTGCAGAATCTATTGAGATTTTAAATTTGATCTATTTATGTTGTCCATACACTTTGCTCATAACAACCCTATGCATCATTTAAAATTTAAGAAATAATAAATTTTAGTTTCTATACTTTCCCCAAAAAATCTTGATTTCAGGACAATAACATATTTCTGTACAATGATCCTTTGCAGCTGATTTTTGTTCATGTGGAAATGGATAATGAAGAAGTTGGAAAGCCTGTTGCAGATTATTTTGGTATCTCTGAGAATACTCCCAAAGTAATAATTTCTCCATTTCTATATTTTGTGTGGTTGAGCCTTGAGATTCTCGACAAATTATATAATTTAAGTTCAATTCCAAGTAAATCAAGTGACAAATGGTATTTTGAATATAGGTACTTGCATTCACAGGAAATGATGATGGTAAAAAATTTTTGCTTGATGGAGAGGTGACTGTTGACAATATTAAGGTATTCTTTTCTCCCTTTCCTCCAAGGGATCTGTTCATTTTGTTATCATGTTATGGAATATGCACAAATGCTTTCTTGTATGCTTTAGTACAGCTTAAAAGCGATTGCTAAAAAATTCAACTCTTCGTGTTCTCTCAGGCATTCGGGGAAGATTTCCTTGTAGACAAGCTAAAACCTTTCCTCAAGTCAGATCCAATTCCCGAAAGTGTAAGTCATTCTATTTTCCACGTATATCCTGCTAGCTATGTTTTTCATCTCTAACACATTTGCTAACTTGATGGCAGAACAACGGTGATGTGAAAATAGTTGTTGGCAATAACTTCGACGAAATTGTCTTGGATGAGTCAAAGGATGTTCTACTTGAGGTATAATATTAGCCCACCAGTTTCAAATCATATTTTCGCGTATAGCTTGTTCAGTGGTTTGTGTTAATTTAATGGCTGTTTTAACATCAGATTTATGCTCCCTGGTGTGGCCATTGCCAAGCCTTGGAACCAACATACAACAAGCTCGCAAAACATCTTCGTAGCATTGATTCTATTGTAATAGCCAAGATGGATGGAGCAACAAATGAGCATCCTAGGGCAAAGGTAAGCCCAATTTAAACTTGATTTGATAGCATACAAGATGTGCTATTGCCATTATAATTAAAGTGACACTTGGTTCCAACTCATGTTAAGTTTTGGATTTTTCATTTAAGCATATATCAGAAGCCATCATGGTTTTCTTTTGCATGCATGCTTGCATGTGTACTCACCTTCTAGTTATGTTCACTTCGTAGTCTGATGGATTCCCCACTCTCCTCTTCTACCCAGCAGGAAAAAAGAGCTCCGACCCTGTAAGTGAATATTAAACGAGAATGCACTAGTCGTGTGTATACTAACTTTACCCTTCGATGATCTAATATGTATTTGGTTCATTTTGTATGCAGATTACTGTTGATGTAGATCGGACAGTGGTGGCTTTTTATAAGTTTCTCAAGAAACACGCATCAATCCCATTCCAACTCCAAAAACCAACCTCAACTCTGAAAACCGAAAATAGTGGGAATTCTGATATCAAGGAGAGTCAGAGTAGCAGCACAGAAGTGAAGGATGAATTGTAAGATTTAAATGACATCTATTTATACTGAGGGATGACTTAATCAGATGATACGAGTAGAGTGACTTGCTGCTCAGTGAAAATTGCAAATGATTGAGAGAGAAAGAGTACTTCCCCTAATCTGGCCAAAACACAAATTTCTAAGAAAAGGGAAGTAGAAAAATGATGGTGATATTAACATATGTATTAGCTTCTTCAGCTTATATGGTTTTGTATTAGACTTTTGTGAGACTGAATTTGAAAAGTGGCCCGATATTCTAGTTTATCAGCAGTCTATTTTTTGTTTTAGATTATCTGTTAATTTTATTCTTAGTTTAAGCTTTATAGTTGGATAAAGCTTCATCAGAAATCAGTTGTTAGGAAAATAAGTTTTATAAAGAAAGTTCCATTGAAAAGTATTTTTGGCAGGTGAATGTTACAGTTACACTAGGCAAGTTTATTAGAGCATCTCCAATGCAGGAACATGCCATATAAGCACATTCCAATTTCCAATGGTAAAAATATATTAAATAGATCTGGCCTGATCTTAAACAAAGTTTTGTTCAAACCAACCCATGTAGAATTCATCAGTTGTGGCGTGCTATGTAATTATTGTAGAAGGAAGACGATCTAAATGTCATAAAATTTTACAATGTTCAAAGGTCTTTTAGATAAATTAAATGAGCTTCAACCATTTCCAAAATGCACTTGTGGCCCATCAAAGGAATTGATGCAGAGAGAAAGAAGAAGAAGAACGATTTCATCTCTTATTTGGAAGTCTTGTCATCTCTTATTTGGAAGTCTCAAAAATGAACAATACAATCATGTCGAGGCAACCATCCTTAACTCGTGTTAAGATTTATTTATTTATTTGTTAAGATTTATGTATTTATTTATTTGTTTTAGAATTGTTTTTGTTTAAAATTAATGGTCGTTGCTAAAATCTGGTCTTTAGGAATTGTGGTATCATGTGTTAGTTGGTTAGTGGATAGTTAATTTTTAGGAAAAATGGAAACAGCGGTTACACTTTGTAATGTCTACAAAAGGCCTATTCTTATAAATAAAATCATCCAGTATTTTGTTTCTCTCGTAGCAGTGGCATCAGAGCTAGGTTACGTGAGAGGGACTGCATAAAAGAAAAAAAAAACTGTAATTTTTTTTCTCACACATGGTTTCAGAAAATGGATTTGTGCAAGCAGCTATTCCACGCTTTGATGGTCACTATGACCATTGGAGCATGCTCATGGAGAACTTCTTGAGATCCAAAGAATACTGGACGATTGTTGTTTCTGGCGTAGCAGAACCTGCAGTGTCAGACAAGCAAAAGACGGGGCAGGAAGGACTAAAGCTGAAGGATCTCAAAGCAAAGAATTATCTTTTCCAAGCAATTGATCGATCAATCTTAGAAACCATTATTTGCAAGGACACTGCAAAGCATATTTGGGATTCCATGAGGAAGAAATACCAAGGTACAACAAGAACAAAAAGACAACAACTTCAATCACTTCCTTCGGAGTTTGAATCACTTCGAATGAAATTAGGAGAGTTAGTTACAATCTACTTTTCAAGAGTGATGGATATCGTTAACAAGATGCGGATTCATGGTGACAAGACAACAGATGTCACCGTTGTTGAGAAGATTCTTCGATCCTTGACACCAAAATTTAATTTTGTTGTCTGTTCGATAGAAGAAGCAAATGATGTGGATGAACTTTCAATTGATGAATTGCAAAGTTCCTTGCTGGTTCATGAGAATAAAATCAGCTACTAAAACAAAGAGGAGCAAGCACTTAAAGCCTCGACTTATTCAAATACCTCAAATTTTAGAGGAGGCCGAGGCAGGGGCAGAGGAAGAGGTCGAGGTGGTTACGGTAGAGGTGACAATGGTTGTAGCAGCAACCATAGCAACTGCAAACCGCCAGAATTTAGACAACTCAGGAAGAGGAAGAGGTCGAGGTGGCTATCGTGGAGGTAATCATTCAAACAATTATCGCCTAAAATCTAATGTTGAGTGCTACGTTGTCATAAATATGGTCATTATCAAAATGAATGTATAATTAACTTGAATGGCCAAAATGGAGAAATGACCAACTTTACAGAAAGAGAAGAAGAGGAATCTCTCTTGATGGTGTGCAATGTGACCGAGGAAATTCCAGATAATCTGTGGTATTTGGATACTGGCTGTAACAATCATATGTGTGGCGATAAGAAGGCATTCTCTAACTTAGACGAATCATTTCGCAACACTGTTAAATTTGGTGACAACTCTACAGTTTCTGTCATGGGAAAAGGAACAATTGGCATTCATACCAAGAAAAATCATGTTCAATTTATTTCTAATGTTATTTTTGTTCAGACTTGAAAACAAATTTACTAAGTGTTGGCCAGCTTCAAGAAAAGGGATATAGAATCTATGTCAAAAATGGAGTTTGCAGAATTGAAGATGAAAAATTGGGTTTGATAGCTCAAGTGAACATGACAGCTAATAGAATGTTTCCATTGTATCTACAAGACAATACTCAATCATGTCTTTCTGCAAGGTTAAAAGAAAAGGAATGACTTTGAAATTTTCGCTACGGGCATCTCAGTTTTTGTGGGTTAAAGACTTTACAACAAAAGAATATGGTGACAGGTCTTCCTCAAATCACAGTCCCTTCTGAAGTTTGTGAAGAATGTGTCGTTAACAAACAACACCGGAATCAATTTCCACAAGGAAAATCATGGAGGGCAAAGGCTGCACTAGAGCTTGTTCATTCCAATATATGCAGACCAATTACTCCATGTTCTAATGGAGGTAAGAGGTATATAATTACTTTCATTGATGATTTTAATCGTAAAGTATGGGTTTATTTCTTGCAAGAAAAATCGGAAGCATTCCCAGCATTTAAAAGCTATAAAGCATTGGTTGAAAAAGAGGTAGGCAGTTCAATCAAAGTTCTATGCACAGATTGCGGTGGAGAATATAATTCACATGAATTTGCAAATTTTTGTGAGACTCATGGAATCAAAAGGCAGCTTACATCAGCTTATACACCTCAACAAAATGGCGTATGTGAGAGGAAAAATCGCACTATTATGAATATGGTGCGTCGCATTTTGTCAAGGAGTTGTACTCCAAAAAGTTTTTTGCCAGAAGCTGTCAACTGGAGCATACATGTACTGAACAGAAGTCCCACACTTGTTGTTCAAAATATGACATCGGAAGAAGCATGGAGCGGAAGAAAACCAACCGTAGACTATTTCCGAGTTTTTGGGCATATCGCTTATGCTCATATTGCAGATCATAAGAGAAAAAAAGCTAGATAGCAAGGGAGAAAAATGCATTTTTCTTGGTGTTAGTGATGTATTAAAAGCTTACAAATTATATAATCCAAGCACTAAGAAAATTGTCATTAGCCGCGATGTAGTCTTTGATGAAGAAGCAACCTGATCATGGAAAAAAGATAAGGCTAAATAATGTATCCCAATAGCCTTTGATGATCATGAGGAAAGGGAGAAACCTATGGAAAATGTGCAAGAAGTAGAAGGAAATCAGAATGTTCCTATAGCTGATCAAAGTCCACTTGTAGCTGAATCATAAAGGCCTCAACGTCATAGAAGTAGACTTGCACGGATGGAAGATTATGAGGTTACTGGAGTTGACCAAGGCAAGGATGTACTTACACATTTTGCTCTCTTTTCAGATTGTGATCCTACTACTTTTGAAGTTGCTGTCAAGGAATCAAAATGGAAAAAGGCTATGGATGCAGAAATTGCATCAATAGAAAAAAATGATACTTGGGAACTATGTGATCTACCAAATGGACAGGAAACCATTGGTGTGAAATGGGTTTTCAAAACAAAGCTAAATGAGAAAGGTGAAGTTGACAAGTATAAGGCTCGTTTGATTGCCAAGGGATACAAGCAACTGTACGATATTGATTACACAGAAGTTTTCTCTCCAGTTGCAAGGCATGACACAATCAGATTAGTGGTTGCATTAGCGGCACTACAATCGTGGGAGATTTTCCAGCTTGATGTTAAATCGACATTCTTGCATGGATACCTGGAAGAACAGGTATATGTTGATCAACCTCCTGGCTATGTAAAGGTTGAATTAGAACATAAAGTTTATAAATTGAAGAAAGCTCTCTACGGACTAAAATAAGCTCCATGAGCTTGGTATAGTCGCATTGAAGCTTATTTTCTAAAAAAGGGTTTTCACAAATGTCCATATGAGCACACACTTTTTGTTAAAATAGGAGATATCGGGAAATTGCTCATTGTGTGTTTATATGTTGACGATCTTATATTTACTGGAAATGATGATGCCATGATGAAAGAATTCAAGAAATCTATGATGATTGAATTTGAAATGTCTAACCTTGGTATGATGCACTACTTCCTTGGCAAAGAAGTAGCACAATCATATTATGGGATCTTTATTTCTCAAAGGAAGTATGTGCAAGATATTTTGGACATATTTAAAATGCAGGACTATAATCCCGTAAGCACTCCAACCGAGTTTGACTTGAAGCTAAACAAAGATCATGATGGAAAGAAAGTGGACAACACACTTTACAAGCAAATTATTGGCAGCTTAATGTACTTAACAACAACCATGCCTGACATAATGTATTTTGTGAGCTTAATAAGAAGATATATAGAGAGTCCAACAGGAATGCATTTGTTAGCTGCCAAGAGAATTCTTCGCTATTTACAAGGAACTAAAGATTTTGGGTTGTTCTACAAGAAAGGAAAAAAGTTGGAATTATTTGGGTTTTCAGATAGTGATTATGCAGGAGATCAAGATGATAGAAGAAACACCTCTGGCTATGCTTTCTTGTTGGGGACTGAAGTTGTTTGATGGTCTTCTAAGAAGCAACAAATTGCCACTTTATCATCTAAAGAAGCTGAATTCATTGGTGCAACAACTTGTGCTTGTCAAGCTATTTGGTTGAGACAGATTCTTGAAGAGCTACGATCAAAACAAGTTGAAGCTACCACAATTATTTGTGACAACAACTCAGCAATCAAACTTTCCAA